TTTGTAAGGAAAGACAACTCTATAGTTTAAGTATATAACAATTCCAGTTTATTTTTGTTCTTTCACTCATGAAATTAAAATATATCATAATCATCTCAACCACAGGGATCATCTGGTTATGCTAAACCTTTGGAGGTAAAACTGAGTATGTGGAACATGAATATTGCATCAAGGAAAAGAAATGGATAATGTACATTCCCAGCTATTTGCCTCCAAGTATGTGAGGCTGATTCTTTCACTAGAGAAGCTCATACACTCTTAAACCCTCATCAGATCTGCATGCAACTATTAATGTCTTAATAAATCTTTCCTTTACCTTCCTCTGTATAATTGTAATATCAAAACATTTTATCACACTGTGTTGTGAATTATTCCTGACAGCATTTATGAGAGTCTAACACTCTGTATTTTATTTCTGTCTAGTTGGGTTCCCTGTAATGAAGCACTAAGGGAAAAATTATATTCATGGGATCAGACACTATGGAAGAGAAGAGGTGCATAATAAAGATAAGAAGCAGAGATAAATGGACCTTTGACCTTCTCCTAATGTCATTGATTGACCTACCAAGGAATCACGAAAAACCCGAAACTTCAGTGTAGTCCAAGTTGTGACATGTGGACGACATCTCTTAAACTCTGCATTAATTAATATTGTGTTGTGACCTCTGGAAGAGTACATGACCTTGAGTAAGGCATCTGCTTCCAGCTGGGCAAGTCCCAGACAGGGTAGCAGCAAATGGCTGTCTGACAGATGCTTTCTCAACAGTCGGGGTCATAATTCCATTCTCCCTCACGGAACACCCAGGTGACCTATAAGTGACCAGCAAACTCATTCTACTTAATACAGACATTCTGCATTTAATGACCAAATTCTGTTTCTATGACTAGTTCATTTAATACAGAATTGTATACAGCATGCATTTACAAGATTCATAATTAAGAAATAATCAAAGGAAATTCTAACTTGGTGACTCTGCTTTTATATGCAGTACTATAGTGTATAACTGAACATAAAACTACAATACTGCTGTACTATGTAGTACAATAAGTCAAAAATACAGGACCATAAAAAATTACAGCACCATATAAACAAGGTGTATTATTGTCCAAAAAAGATATTTAGACTCTATAATCAAGATGTGCAAAACCGTACAAAAGAAGATGTACCATAAGTTGGAACAGTCATTAAACAGACAGGTAATTAAATAAGAGAAGTCTGATTTCTCCTTTATGAAGGAATTCTTTTTTTTTTTTTCTGGTACCAGGGATTGAACTCGAGTCCTTGCGTTTGCAAGGCAGGCCACTGAACCACTGAGCTAAATTCCCAGAAGGATGAAGGAGTTCTTATTGAATGTAAGGATTTTATTTTTCTTTTTAATCTTGTTTTATTTTTTTCAATAAGTTTATTTGTACATTTTAGGTATGTGACACCGTTACATTCATCATTAGTTTTAATCTTTGGCAAGTTGAAACCCAGCTTTCCCATTGCATTTATTGAAGAGCTTATATTCCTCCAGCGAATATAAGAATTTGTATCAGTATGAACATTGTTATATTTTTAGTGTCTGGAATATACACAGATGAACTTTTTTTTTCTTTTTTTTCACTCAGTTATTTTGTAATGAGTAAATGAACAAATATGCAAATAACTTCTGGAGCAACAACTCTTTCCATCACTGCTGAAGGTACAACATCTCCTTACCTTCCATATCTACATCTCCTGTTGATTGCTCTTCCACACATGGATGAATGCAAATCTCAGTCACCAGCTGGTGCTATTAAAAATATAGTAGGCTGAGTAGGCTGAAAAAGAAGCGCTTATTTCTCAAAGTTTTAGATGTTGCCAAGCCCAAGATTTAGATTCCAGAGACTGAGACCCAGTGATGACCATCTTTTTGGTGTGCACATGCCAAGCCACTTTCTTCTATTTTTCCAAGACAGAGAGAGGAGACTTTGGCATTTCTTTCTTTCCTTGTTAAAATTCCCTTAGTGACTCCCACCTGCAAATACCATCATATTTTGGGAAAATAATAAACTATCAGAAAAACAGTTAAGCTGTTATAAAAGATAATTTCGTGACTGTGAATTTTGAAAGATGTGGGCATTTTTTATTAAAGTGATCTTAATTTCATCTAGTTGCTGTGCTTCAATTATTAAGACATGTGGCAGAACAGCAAGAATAGAAACAAAAATCATAATGCTCAGAAGGCCAGAGAGTCACCATTTTTAATACATGAATGTTTATTTTAACTGCTGAAAGGGCTTTACAGTGAGGGAATGGACTGGCTTTATTTAAAATGCAAATAATTAAAAATGAATTTCAATTTTCATATCAAAGGCAAATAAGTTTCAGCATCAATCACAAAACGGAAGACTAAAGCTCTTTTATAAACCCAGTATCTCCTTCAATCTCATAACATTAAACACAAAATATGACAAGAAATATAGACAAATCAAGCCATGTCATAACTAACCAGGTAGGGGTATCTATTGATTATTATAAAGCACATTAAAATGAGACATGTTCCTAAGCAATGTTAGCAATATATACAAAATACAAAGGATTTCTATTCCATTACATACCTAACTAATATGAACATTTTTTTGCAATATTTTGATTGAATCAAGAAATTGTGTACTGAGTTAAATTCTCAGCTCTTTTTTATGTTTTATTGTGAGACAGGTTCCCCCCATGTTGGTATTTTTCCCAGATTAGGCTAGAATTTGTGAACCTCCTTCCTGAGCCTCCAAGAGTGCTGGAATCACAGCGTGACTTCAATTCATTTTTTAGGAATAGACAAGAAGTTCACTTCAAAGAACATATGATGGTTCATTTTTCCTCCAATTGGCAACAGAAGAAAATCAATGGCCCATAATATGTAAAAAGACTCCACTATCTTATAATAACAAAAAATTAAGTTAATGAAATGCTATCTTAAACCCATTGTTAGAACAATGGAGAATGTCTGGGGATGGTATGGAAAACTAGGAATACCTAACAAAAGTGTAAATTGGAAAACCCAATTACAAAATGTCTTTGAACTGTTGCAAATTTAATATTGCACTGTTATAGCCAACAGATTTACCCCAGTAATTAAATTATGTTTCATTTCCTTCAGGAAATGTGGTAGAGGATATTCAAACAAAATTTATTTATTTGCAGTAACAGAAAAATAACTTTTACATGATAGGCCTTGGTTCTCATTTTTTCCTCCTGTCCCTATAAAGGTACAAGATCCCAATAGTGAATGTAACTGTACTGTATACCTAAAATGTACCAATAAAATCAATGAGAAAAAAAATAAAAGCAATTAACACAATTTCACCACTATCAGAAATATTCTTCATTTTTAACGTCATATATAATATAAATATATGGATCTTTAAAATAAATCAATAACTTCTAAGCACATTCTCAGAGTTTATTCTGAACACAATATTACAAGTAACAAAAAGATATGGAATTCATCCACTTATTTTGAACTTTAACAAGGTTAAACAGAAGCAAATTTATATAATAAATTGCACAGGAGAATGTAGAAGCTTGATAACAATGCACTATGGTTCTATAAAAATGATACTTTACATGGAAAAAATAAGCAAATACTGGTGATCCAATACTGGAAGTGTTGAGCCAATTCCTATCATGTACTGATTACAATGCTTCCTTCTTTACAATTTTCTCTTTCTGTTTGTCTTATAAGAAAATATTTAGGGCCTACTCAGAGAATGGAAGTAGACTATTTATCTAAAAATCCCCCTTTTCAAATGCTTACCATTCTCCAATTTATCAAATAAGATAATTATAACTCTTTAGGACAGGATCAGAACATGCATTGAGAGCCAATAGGTAAGGTAATCTGAGATACAGTCTGGCTGACCCAAGGAAAGTTTCTCATCAACACACTCAAGTAAGGACTCACGGTTTTATGTCTGTGGTGCCTTGTCAGACTGTGACATCTAATACACACACTTGCTGCAATAGTTGGTGAACCAGATGGGAACAAGTGCAAGGACGAGGCCTTTTCAGGCAGGACTGAATGCACCCTACACTCTGCTAGCACATTCCCTGCCACTTAGGCCTTTGTCATGACAGATAAGTATCTTATTGTCTGAGTTTATTAATGTTAGCATATCTTTTCTTCTTAGCCCTGAAGTTGTCATCATTGATGACAACTATCTCAAAAGACTAATGTTATCCTATAATGCCAGTTTTATATATAATCAAACTGAATATGCTTAATAGAATTTTAAACTACAATGATATAGTATTCCATGATCAGGACTCATTCTTTACTTCACAAGGCATAAAAGTTCATTTGTTTTGCTCACAGTAGGATTATGGGTAGGATGTAATTCTAAAGACTCCAGACAAAATGATGCAGAGTGCCTTTTTAAATGATCACTTCATCGAAATATTGTGGCCTATAACCACTGGCTTCTTTGATTTGTCTTAGTAAGAGTTCACACACACACACACACACACACACACACACACACACACGCACAGTAGTAATTGTCATAACCAGCATCATCGCCCAGGCTTTCCCCCATGAGGTCTAAGAAACAATTTATACTTAGAACTCTGATTATGTTTAAAATATCAGAGACCTTGACAAAGGCAAAATCAGGATTTAATCCAAGATAAAATGCAGGGAGCCATTACATTACTTAGTAAATTTAGGTAGGGACACTCTGACTCATCCAGAACCTTTTAATTTTAACCTACCCTATACAAGTACAGAGCAAATAACATATTACCGAAAAGAGGCTATCCTAGCAATAAGTTTCCACAAAGCGACCCTCATGTCCCTGTTCCTCAGGCTATAGATAAGGGGGTTCACCATTTGAGGGAACACAGAATACATCACCAAAGCCAGTACAACCTTTTGCATTGAGTCTGTTACTGCAGAACTAACGTACACCCCAAAACCTGTCCCATATAACAGGGTAACAACTGAGAGATGAGAACCACAGGTAGAAAAAGCCTTATACTTTCCTTATGGTGAGGGCATTCTCAATATAGATGACACAATGTGAATATAAGACAAAATGATTCCAAATGCAGGAACATCACCCAATATACAAACCGCAATATATATGACATTGTTATCTACTAAAAGTGTCAGAACAAGGGAGCCTGATAACTTGGGCAAATTCACAGAAAAGTGGGGGATTCTCAGCTCTATGCAGATGGACAGCCTCAACATCATCAGAATGTATGGCAGTCCATCCGTGATGCTAATGAACAAGAAGAGAGTCAGTGAAACACACATGCAGATGTTCAGGATGACTGCATATCTAAGGGGATGGCAGATGGCCACATAGCGGTCATAGGCCATTGCTGGAAGGAGACAAGTCTCCAAACCACTAAAAACCAAGACTAAACAGATCTGAGCAAGGTAGCCTCTTTGGTTGATGCTGTGATCCTGTGTTTGGATGCTCACCAGCATCTTTGGAACTGTTCTAGTGCTTAAACAGATGTTATTAAGGGACAGACTGTAGAGGAAGAAGTACATGGGGGTGTGGAGGTGAGAGTCAGAGCTGACAGCCAGGATGACGAGTAGGTTTCCAGGATAGTGACCAGGTACATGGATAGCAACAGGCTGAATATTAGGGTCTGCAGTTCTAGATTATCCGTCAGTCCCAGGAGAAAAAATTCTGAAATAGCTATTTTGTTTTTAGCTTCCATTATTTAATGGTCTATTTTAGACGTGATGAAAAAACAGTACATTATAAAAAATCCAATGGCTGTAAATCAAAGGACTGCATCAGGAAAAACCACCCCATGGACACCTGGCAGTTTAGAGTTTTGCCTCTGAAACACTGCTGATTTAATTGTTCAAGCAGTGTTACTCTAGCATCAGTTTATGATATCACTAAGAATGAATCCACTCATACAATGGAAATCAATACGGAGATACCTCAAAGAGCTAGGGCTAGATGTTCCATTTGACCCAGTCATAGCTCTGCTGAGTATCTCCAAAAGAATTAAAAGAATCATATCACAGTGACATATGCACACATGTTTATAGCAGCACAGTTTGTATTAGCTAAAACTTGAAAACAGCCCATTTACCCATCAGTTGGAAACTGGATAAAAAAAGATGTGGTTTTTCTATAAAATGGAATAAAACTCAGCCATAAAGAATGAGAAATTAGAGTCATTCATAGGAAAATAGATACATTTTGAGGATATACTCCTAAATGAAGTAAAGAAGTCACACATGTGTAAATACTGAATAGATTCTCTCGTGTGAAAAACTATAATAGTACTCAAGATACTAATGGGATAATTAACAATGTGAAATAGGAATAAAAGGGCTAAAGGTGTAGGGAAAGTTGGAAGGTAGGGGACGGGGAATAAGGGAAAAATGTGAGAAAATGAAAAATTGGAATTGAAGTGTTTGTAAATGGGGAGGGGAGTAGGGGATGAAGGGACAGTAGGGACAAGGGGAAAAATGAGACCCAAACCTGTCATGTAAAGGTACAAAATCCCAGTAATGAATGTAACCATACTGTATACAAAGAATGTACCAACAAACTCAATAAAAAACTAAAAAATAAAATCCCCTACTTGGAACCACCAAAGAAGTAGGTAAATAAACAAATGAAAATGGCTAATTCTTTTCAAAGTCATTGAGCTTGAGAAGGGGCAGCTTTCTGTTCTGAAGTAGTTGGGACTTGTTCTTGGGAAGAGAATGAGACCATCAGAATACAGGTGGGTGAGCATTGGTGCAAACAGAAGAGGAGGGATGAAAAGTACAGTGGACGTTAATTTTTTGAAAAAAAATTGTTGAAACGTACATAGCCATTAATTGACCTCAAAATATTATCCCATGTTTTAAATGCACTTATTGTTCTTGCCACATTTTAAAAAGAAGTTTGGAGAGAGTGCATCTATGTCTTTATTTATGCTGTCAAGGCTGAATGTATGTTCTGTGGTGATCACACTTTCCTAGGCATTTTGACTTTGAGGGGAAGCAAAATGTTTCTACTGTCAGATCTGGTGATTAAGGTACATGAAGAATGAAGACAATATTTCTATAAGATTATTTTCCTCTTGAATGACACTGGTATAAATAATCTCTGTATTAATTTATCACACCTCATAAATGCATTCAGAAAGGAGGATCTTCAGAACTGCCTCACAAAGTGTCAAGAATGGTGAGATAAATAGGTTTGAAGTGGGCGAAATTCTTAGAGGGAAATGGTAGCAATGCAACTTTTAGTAGAATTAAATTTTGTAATTGACAGTAATTTTTGTCACATCTTGAACATGAAATGTGTCAAGGTAGAGGCATCTGACAGCAGGTTTGTGGAGGGCTTTCTTCTCATTAACTTGTGTATACCCTCACCTTCTTTTTCTCCAAATTATATACAGCAACTACCCTCATTTCTGAAGGGAGGACAAAGGATTTCATATTCTATTTTGCTCCAAGACCAATGATGTTGAACAACTTACCTGAATATTGAAGATAGATTATGTGACATCAGCAAAAACTAATAGAATAACTAAGCCAGTGTGGCACTGGTCAAGCAGGATCATCCCAGGAAGGAGGCTATGTATGCTTGTGCAATGGAGCAGGGAAACTCTGAGGTTTTTTGCTGGCTGACTTGCAAGGTCTTTTTATCCTTGCAGCACACAATATCCAAAAATTGGATCTGGACACAATGTCCAGAAATTTTACTCTTCTGATCCTAGGATGACATATCCTTAAGGACTAAGATTCTCTGAGATCAGAATGGGTGATTTCCTGACTCTAGGGGCCAGTAAATTTTCCCCATTACTTCTGCTTAAGTCTGTTTCAGAGACTTTCCATGCAAAATACACCTCACTTCTCTAGGAAATTTTAGTGTTGCTTTTTAGTTAAAAATTAAGGGTTTCAATCTATTTTATGATATCTGAAAGCTACATTCCTTTTTTGATGTGAAAGTTTGTGGGTATAAATAATTACAATATTCGCTAAATATTTGAAAATTATAGCATACTGAGTTCTCTTCATATATCATGGATGTTAAATCTTAATTTTTATTCTTTCAATTTGTACCACATATTTTAACCTACTTTTTGTGATTACTGCCAATAACAAAAAATATATAATGAAGTCCCTCTTAGAACTTGATAAAAATCCATTTAAATTTTCTCAGAACACTTTACTCCATATATGAAGACTGGGAATTGGATGTTTCTTTGTTTCTATTTCATGTTTCAGTTTAATTACAAAATGCCCCCCTCCAAGAAAAAAAAACACCGTATTCTCAGATCTCTCCATATACTCAGCACATATGGTCAGATTTCAACCATTGTTTCATGAGATAGAATCCTGTTTTCCCTTTACGATCTTTTTGACATCTTTTGTAGTTAAGGACTTCAACATTTGCATACATTTATCAAATTAAAATATGCTTGCCATTTGCACCCTTTCTGTTGCACAAGATGCATTACTTGAAATTCATGACAATATGGCCTTGTCTTTTCTTTCTTCGCCATCCTAATCTAATGCATTTTTTAAAAAAAAATAATAATAAGGGCCAGAGGTTTAGCTATGTGGCACATCACATGCCTCTCATATGCAAGGTCCTGAGTTTGATGCCTGGTACAATAAAAGAAAAAAAGAGAAAAATAATAGATGAAGAGTACAAACAATCACTAGCCTTGTAAAACAAATTTAAGTATTCCATGTAGTGCAGACAAAGTTAATATCAACAATAAGATCAATTTTTCCTGGATGCAAACAAGTAATTCTACCATAACAGCTGAGTGAATAGAATCCCAGTTGAGCCTGTTTTTCTATGAAAGCAAGACAATACTTCTTTCTAAACAAGGAGGGCTCAGTGATCTCTGAAGAGATAGAGTAGTTTCCAAGGGCAGCAATACAGTATTTTTGTTTGAGAGATATCTGTGAACTCAAGATGTGGACATGTCATAGACCGGGGTGGTGAATCACATGAAGCAGACTGCAGAAGGCTGATGCTATCACTTAAGCTCTAAAAGCTTTGCCTTTGCTACTATAGATCCATGGATGTGGATTGCAAGCAATCATATGTTTCAGAAGATGCTACAAGGAATAATGTAACCAAGGTCCCCTGGCTTAGTGGATACATTTGTGCCACTCTCCGCATCATGAAACCTCAGAAACCATCCGGCTCAATTTAAGACCTGAGCTATGACTGGAGCCAAACAGGGATACCTCTGCATCTGACAGATGAAAACTGAACTCAGAGTTCTTCACTATATGTTATTGCATGCTATCATTTATACATTATTCTGTAATATTTTTAATTGCATTGGCTTTCAGAAAATGAGGGAGAAGATGAATTGAGTGATTGAGGATGGAGTTCTACTTTATGGAGTTTTGTCATGTGAGGTAAAGAGAACAGGCCTGCAATCTAAGCAGAAAAATCTGTCTGTAGAATCTTTAAAGCATTTCAACAGAAATTTATATCGCTTATATATAAGGATGTCTGATGGTGCTGTTGACCTCATAGTACCCTTTGATGTGAGCACTGAGAAGGAGCAGATTTGAAAATCTAAAGGTTCAACAGGATTTCATCACTTAGTTGCAGGATCAAAATGGGAACCACAATCAAAATGAGAGGAGACTCCTGTACACTTATGAGGATTGTTATGATGAAGCTTTTTCAAAAGTGGATGATGATTAAATCTGCCTATTAAAGTGATATGTTTCACATTTTTCCCAAGCAGAGAAAAGAAAGGAAGAATACATGTGAGGATATGTAAGTTGAGAACAATAACACCATTTTCACTGTGCCCTAAGACAAATCTTAGAAGGAAAAATAAATAAACTTCAAATACAGCTGTGCACAAACTTGCTCAACTGTATGCGTAAAATTAGGAAATATTTCAAGGTCAATGAGCATACTCTGCTGCCTACCTCAGGAGCTAGCATAATTGAAGAAGATCAATAACTAATCAATACAAATGTCTAAGCAGGGCAATCCTTGGTTGTGTATGAAATTCTTGGTCTGTGAGATTACTGGGACAACTGCTTGAGAAAATGAAGGATTAATTTTCAAAACTTATTGTTTCCAATATGGTATTGGCTGATCCCTCATCATCACCTGCCACAATCACATCCTCTGTCCTCCTCTTTCTGCACACGTCCATCAAGAAGGCTATTGACAAGCCGTGTCCCCCTTCCTCTGCACAGGACTTGAGATTTTCCCCCCAAAGCTTCTTTGGAATCACACCCATATTTATTTACAATATCAGAAATGTGCACAGTGCATTTAAACTCAAAAGTAAAGTATATCTAGAGATAGGTATAGATAGATCGCAATAAATCATGAGACTAAAATTTCCCTCATACATTAAGACCTCTTGAATGTGGACCATAAGAGAAAACAATGAAAAAGAAAACCATAGTAAAATTAAAAACTTGTGTTCACATATTAAATGTCATAAAATGCATAAAAAGAGACAGTATTAAATAATAAATTGGTAATCCAGGCTTTATAGTTCAGTCCTGTAAACTCAACATTCTGAGAGGCTGATTCAGGAGACCTATGAGTAGGAGAAAAGCCTGGGCAATTTAGCAACCGAGGAAACCACTTTTGAAAATTAAAAAAAGAGAGAGAGAGAAAGAAATGTAGGCCTGGTCTTGTAATTCAGTTCAAATGCCCTTGATTTAATACCAATATCCTGAAAAAATGAGATACAACAAATTTATCTGCATAATACAAATGCAAAGAGTTGCTATTCCAAATACATAATTATCATTTACAAATAAAATATAAACATTTGGATAAAAAACTAGATGAACACATATTTCTCCACAGAGGAAATTAAAAGACCCCACTGAGGTATGTATTTATTTAAGTGAGGTATGACAAGGATATATATTTATTAGAAAAGTTCAATCTGATATGTGTTTGAGATATATGAAGCAGAGGTGAACAGAAGCAATCAAAATAAATAAATGCACTACACCTGACTCAGAGGTCAGGAAGCAACAACCCTGTGATCCTCTGTGCCTACAATGTCTTTACGGACATGCACGCCTGGGTCAGAAATAGCAGTAACATTTCTGTTCTAATGAGGAGCACTGGATATTATATCCCCCTGTGGGATATAGATACCATAGAAGTCAGCCAGGGAAACACTCAAACGCCCTGCCCAGTCAGTAACAGCTACTGGTCCATCCAGATATGGTCCTTCTTGTTAAAGAACCCATTGGCTCAGTAGAAGCTTCTGTCCTTTCTGAGACCAGATCATCTGTCTTCCACATCCAGGTAAGATGCTGAACATCATTCACAGTGAAGCAGCCATGCAACCCAAAGTTCCTTTATCACGATTTGATCATGACTGTTTCTCAGGGGCAGCTGTGGGGACTGTATATGTACAAGATGATGAGAAACAGGTCCCCATCAGCCTGATTTCATTTACATTTTTACCAAGATTCATCCAGCTCTTGTTCTGCAGAACACCTGCTGTCTCTTCAAAGCCAGGAGATGATTTTGTCTTTGGGAAGAAATCTAAATGTGTGGCTCTTCCAGAAAGATGACTCTCATAAAATATTATGCCATTTACTCATTTTTTGGTGTTTATGGGGATAATTTACTTCAGTGTCTAGGCTTTCTGGAGGTATAATAACAATGCATACATAATGGGCTAATTAATAAATAAAATTCATGATCATGGTATCTCCCCTGCCAGGTAAGTATAATGTGAAATAAGAAGTAAAGGGCTAAAGGTGTAGGGAAAGTGGGAAGGGTAGGGGGAAGGTAATAAGGGAGAGGAAAAAATATGAGAAACTGAAAAAATGGAAATAAAGTGTTTGAAAATGGGGAGGGGAGGAGGGGGTGAAGGGAGGGCGGGGACAAGGGGAAAAAATGAGAATCAAGACCTATTATGTAAAGGTACAGGATCCCAATAATGAATATAACTGTATTTTATACCTAGATTGTACCAATAAACTCAATAAAAAGGAAAAAAATAAAATTCAATTTCTCATAGTTTTCGAGGTTAGAGATTGATGGATTGATGCTTGGTTTCCTCCAGAGGTCTCTATTTGTAGTTGGTCTCATTTCAGTATCATCTCATGACTTCTTCTCATTGTCTGTTTTCTAATTTCTTTGTAAGGGCCTCTGAATACAATAATACGCCTCAATCTACAGACTACTATTTAAGTGAGTTACCTTGTGAAATAACCTTCTAAAAATGCAGTTACAGTATGAAATATTGGGGTGCTTATATTTCACCAAGTAAATTTTGCAATTATTGAATTCAGCATATAAATATTAGTTTCACTCTTATATGTATTTTGGTTTATTCATCCAGGACTATATAGAAAGTTTTTCCTAGTCTCTGGGAAAAATGGGCTTTGAAATTTCTGAAAAGAAGTCTCACCAGTAGTTGCCCAGTCCCTATACCCTGCTCTGATATATGGCTTCCCCTTAAAGTAATCACATTAATGGGTAGAAGTAGCCATACCTGAAAAATCAAGGAGATAATCAGGCCTATAATAAGA